ACAGAGAGAGAGAGAGAGAGAGAGAGAGAGAGAGTTAGTATCTCCCATAGGATACAGTGGATATCAGCACAGCAACAAATAAAAAATGCAGACCTCATAGATTAGCTTCTGATGGCTCACAGTTCAACCTGACAGCTTTCCAATCTCCTAGACAGTCAGAAACATTTCAACATTCTGAAGTGTTCCTGATCTCCATGATGGTCAGAAATATTCTAACATTTAAAAATGACAGCACATTGGTTCTATATGAACATATCAGCCTTTTTTCACCACAGATCAATAGATGATGTGAGAGCAGATCAATAAAAATAGTATGAAATCATTGGACATCCCTGTTTAAGAAGTGTTTTCTGTCTGGTTTAGTTCTATAAACAAGAGTGAAAAAGAAGTTGACTGATTGATTTATTTCTGCAGGAGATGATAAAGTTCTTCGTTTGTGGCATCCTAACATTAACACCAAGCCAGTGGGGAAACTGTTGGGTCATTTATTTAGCATCACAGAGATAGTCACCAATGAAAAGGATCAGCACATTATTAGCCTCTGTACTGCAAAGGTATGTTTTTCTTTAACCTTGTGAAAATTCTTATGACATTACTATGCAGAATGACTTTTTTGCCAAAGAAGTTGTCCATTCAATACAGATGATCTATTTTTCCTTAGCTGAAAATATATAATTAAGTATGAAATGCATACATTATATGTGCTGTCAAGGGTGTACAGCAAGAGTGGCAGGTATTTTGCCAAATGCTTTCTAATCTTCATCTTCTGTGCTTCACTTCAGGTCCTTTCATATGAGGTCATTTTTAATTATCTCAAATATATTATTTTTAGGTGTACGTATGGCATGGCCCATTTAGTTGACATACAACGTTGGCTTCCTTATACAGAGGTATACCAATCAGGTGCAGCAAAGACAAATCCTGTGTACACTACATAACCCTGTAATGTATTTCAGCAACCTGGCACTCCCCAAGATGAGTCAAACTATTCCCCCTTCAGTTCTGCTCACAGACTAAATACACATGAGAGTATGGCTCTTAGCTTGCTGGCTTGGAGTGATGAGGCTGGTAGTCCAACATATTGAGAGGGGGCAGAAGCAGGAGGCCTGCCTGTGGTATTAGCAATGCTGTTTCTTTACTAATTTTAGCCTACCATCAGGGATGGGGACTTATCACTCACTGTAACTTGGACTTGACTTTTTTTAAAAAAATATTCCATTTGTGACTTGGATCCATTTTTCCGAGTCACATTTTTGAGTCCCTAGCCCATGCACCCTCCCTCCCTCCCTCCCAGTGATCACTAAACAATACCCATGGAGGAGGCAGTGGGGAGGACACGGACAGACGCACTCCCACAGTCGCCCTCCCTGCTCCAGTTCTAGATCTTGAGCAAGGGCCCCGCACCTGGACACGTGTGCACTGCTGCAGCTTGGGAGGCTTCTACAGCAGCTGGAGAGGGACACACACAGCCAAGATCGCATCTGCTGTTGTTGGCGCCATCACCAGCAGTAGTTCCTGCCAGGCTGGGCAGCGTGGGGGTGGACTCGGCCAGTAAGGTGAGGCGGAGGGCATCGCTGCCACTGGGATGGCCAGGGAGAAAGAGGGTGGGGCAGGGAGACCTTACAAGGTTTGGAGGGGGGACTACAGCTCCCAGAATTCCACCAACAGGGACTTGCAACTTGGACTTGGGACTTGGGACCCAGACCCAAAGTCTTGACAATATCCCTGCCTACCATTGGCTGAATGTGGTGTTGGCAAGCCCAATATTCATTCATTGAATTAATTGTTTGTATCAAGGAGTGTCACAGGCTTGATGGAAATTATTGCAGATATGAATTGGGAATTAGTTAATTTTAAGTGATGCAGGTGTGATGCTGCAGTAGGGGACTATAGGGCCTGTCCCAATGTGGGAATAAGCCATCAGAGGTTGAGCAAGGGGGGGGGCTGGCAGGGGGATGAGTGAGTGAGTGAGGGGAAGAGTGATCGGCAGAGAGAATGGAGGGGGAAGAAGCTGAGAAAAGGGGTGGAAAGGGACAGAAGGGCCAAGGGACGAGGTTGAGATGCATAGAGACAGGTGATTGAAGGGGTGGTTGACCAAGGTGGGTGAGGGGGTGGTTGAGCAAGGTGGAGCCAAGCAGGGGGTCAAGTGAATAAGGGGAAGAGAAATGGGGTGGGTAGCTAGCAGGGAAGAATGGAGGGTGAGGAGGGTGAGAAGGAAAGTGGGGCCAAGGGGTGAGAGTGGGAGTTGAGTAAGTAAGGGAGGCGATTAATCAGGCAATCACTGGTAAGTGTGGTGCTTTTCCTTTATTTTTTAAAATTCCTGCTATCTAATATAGTGCTGTCTCAGATAGCAGGATTTTTTTTTTTTTAAGCAGCAGCGGCATTCGCATATGTGGCATTGATTCCTTGGAACCGCCACAAAGTAAACAGACCTCTGCCAGAGGCGCCTAAAAACTAGCACAGTGGTCCATGTGCCTCATGTGTATGCTAAAATGTCAAATGCCACTATTTGGTAGCTTGCTTATATTTTATACACTCCCTGTTGTGACATGCAGAGCCATAGCTAGCAATTTTAGCACTCAGAACAAGGGGAATTGTCTCTCTCCTACTCTGCCTATATGAAATGCCCCCCAAGAAAAAAAGAACAAATGTCCTCAAAAAGAAAGAGGCACTTTTTGATTTCAAAGAAGGGAAAGTGAATAGTGCTGGGAGGTTATTTTCCTAACACTCGCTGGTACATTCACATCTCAGTTTTGGTGCCCCGGTTGTCCTGCCCTAGTTACAGCCCTGATGAGGTTTCTCTCCTGTGGCAGGATAGCACAGCAGTAGTTGTCAGATTATTCCTTTGAAGTGATCTATGGTGATTAAGGAGGTTAAAATGAAAAAAAAAAGATTTAATTAATTATAAGAACTAAGGCATGCCAGATAATTCTTACTATTTTTCCTTCTTAACTGCTTTTTCTTTGAACAACGTACTTCCCATTCTCCTCCTTTTGAAGAAGGTTGAGTATAATATGGGGAAGCTATGGTTCAAGAAGTCCTTCTGCCCAACCCTCCTTGGTTAGGCAGGATTAATTGTGCAGTTTGTTGGATACTTGCCACAGCCTGTAAAAGAGAGATGGTGGGGTGGGGAGATGAGAGAGAGAATCCACTATTCTAATCATACATTTCTTACCGGTTTTCTTTGTACCTCTGGCCAGTTATTCTCCATAACTGTGAAAGATTTTGCTGCTGGGTAGCTGTTCGTATTTATGGTTGTTGATTCTGCATAACTGTTGCTGTTAAAATAAGCTGAACGCAACTAGATGGTGAAATATGAATTCATCTCCAGTCCTAACAATAATGTCTAGTCTAAATCCCACTGAATGTAGTGCTACATACTTTTGATCTGTGTCATGCAGCATATCCATTAACATACCAAAAAAAGCTGTTATATAGGAAAGGGCAGCGATGGAAAATGAAAATATTCAAATAAATTATGGCTGAAATTCTGTGACACATCTCCATATGCACCATGCAAAGGTACAGCAATGTTAGGGGAAAGAGCATCCGGGCGGAAGTGCTATTCAGAACACATTTCCATACACATGCTGCACAACAGGCAAAATAGGACTTGTTTGGTCAACTGTACAATCAGATTAGGAAATCCAGACTGCCTGGGTGTAGCATTCGGCACAACTGGCACACCTGTGCTGGCATAGTTCAACATTACATGAAAATGAGCAGCATTTTGGCCAATGAAAATTTGTCACATTGATTTCAGTGAGACTTGGGCAGCACCATCTGCTCCCGTGTTCTAGTTACAGAAAGGGAGCTCTTTGGAGCCTGAGCTACACTGAGATGAAATTTCCCATACAAGAGTCAGTCGTCGTCATCATCCAGAAATTCGGGTTGTGTATGAAATGGGATAAATTCTGAATCTCCAATAGCTGGCCTGAATCATGGTCTTGCTGTGCTGACTCAGCTACATTATGTTTGCAAGCAACTGAACAGATCTTTATTGCTGCATTTCCTGGTGACAGGAGGCCCTCTGAACCCTCAACACAACAGGGGCTGCACTGACAACATTGAAACCCTAGATATGCTGCCATGCTGCCACTGAAATTCAAAAGCAGTTGTGTAATTGGTCTGTGATGCCGTACAGTCTGTTGACTGGCAGGACAATATGATGGCTTCCTTTTTAGAATAAGATGCCAGAATGATGGGAGTCACACTGCTGTCAAATCTCTGTGGTATCCTTTTGGCAGAAGCAGTGGTATCTTAAATCCTTGCTACAGGAGCAGCAGGTTAAGCAGCCGTGTGAAAACTCTTTTGGTTTTGAGAAGTAGTTATCATTCTGGTTACCCTTCAGTTTTTTCCTCTCCATACAAAATATATCAAATTCTTTCCACATTTTCTCATAAACTGCATGTACAGCATTCAGACAATCCATCAAATTAAATATCTGATTCAAAAAAGATGAGGTTAGGCCAGCAGAATTTATTGTTGAAAAATCCATGCTGGCTTTTACCCATTACCACATTATTTTCAAGATGTAATTTTTCAATAAGAAATATTACTGACTTGCCTAAGACTGGTTCAGTCAGCCTAGCTTTCAATAGAATTCAGTCAACAATGTACTTACAAGTTTTCCATGACCAAAGGACTTGGGCTACATACTTACACAGTTTGATGCAACCACTTCCTCATTCCATTGCCAGTAAGTCTGAAACCCACCAGGACATACCTGCCTTACAAGTTAAATTACAATTTGCTTATTGGTGAAGAGATAAATGTAACTTGCTGATTGGTAGAATTAGTTGCTATCCGCCTCTCTCCCATCCAAAGTTACTATAAAAGCTGTATGAAAAATTCCTGTTTTTGTGCATCTTGGTATTTATACTGAGTGAATCTCTACATGGAATAAATTGCTTTGGCCACCTCACTCCCTCTCTGTTGTTCTGCCTCTAATCCCAAGGAGAGAACAAACCTCTAGGTGTGATTAGCCACACACACAACAGTTCCTATGCAGTGGTGCCTCGCAAGACAAATGCCTCGCAAGACAAAAAACTTGCAAGACAAATGGTTTTGGCAATGGGGTTGATGACTCGCAAGACAAATGTTCCTATGGCCATGCTTCGCAAGATGAATGTTTTCTGTTTTTTGTTCCTGCCTCATGTTTGCTGATTTTTAAATGTTTTTCTATGATGTTTAAAAAGTTAAAGTTTTTTGATTGAAATTTTTTTAAATCATCTGCACAATATGTATGGCTTTAAAGAGCACTTAATAAACCCTTTGTAAACCAAATTTGACTTTGTTCTGACTTTTTTTGCCCATAGGGACGCATTAATTAGATTTCAATGCATTCGTATGGGAAAATGCGTTTCACAAGATGAATTTTTCGCAAGACAACATTGACCGTGGAATGAATTAAATTCGTCTTGTGAGGCACCACTGTACAAATTACTCAGTCCTACCAGTGCGATTTACTTCGAGCTAAATGCATGTTGGATTACAGCCTTCAGCATGTGCTTAATTCTGATCTGCAAAAATTTTAATATGTTAAACTTATATA